GAGAGAAACAATATCAAATTTTAGAGATAGAAACTATCTCAAATTTTTTATAGATACACTATCCCAACTTTTGAGTTTTAGAGAGAGAAAGTATAAAAAAATGTAGAGAGAGAATTGTACCAAGTTTTGTTACCAAACAATAGATATGGAAATGATTGCGAGGAATCCATGAATTTTGTATAGTTTATCCAAACAAGAGATTTGAGGAATCCATGACAAAAATCCTTGCTATTGAAAATTCATAGATTTCCTTGGACTTCAAATTTCTAGGATTCCTAATTTCCTCCTATCCAAATGGGCCCTTTAGGATTTCTTCTTATCCGGGACCCCTCACCGTGCGTGTTGTATGTCAAAACATGTATCTTGGCGATATGAACAACATATTAAAATTTGGGATCGATTGAGCATTAAAATGAAGAAATTCTGTTGCTTGCAAGAAATCCCATTTTTGAAAAACACAATTTTCATAAATGGAAAATGGTTCATTGTGGCTCATTGTGAATAGTGTAAGTCCAATTCATTTTATGAAAGGCAGCCCCTGGATAGTCCAAATGAGTCGAAACTTGGTATTCTGAGGCTTTTAGGCGTTCTGAGTTCGTGTGTGGTGGTCTGATGATCATCTGAGACCTTGCCAATATATCTCCAGTTATAAGGCATTTTGAGCATATTGGAGAAACAACTGAAATTTTATTATGATATGCTTTATCTTTGTCGGATCGAGATGAAACTTGGTAAACATATTTTGATACATCAACTGCTACCTCACATGCTGTCTTGAAGGTTGAGATGACACCTTTTTAAAATTTTCAAAAATTAGGGTTATTTGGTCAGGTATTTCCATAGTCCCCATGTATTTTTGGTACCTGAGGATCTAGGTTGTAACTGCTTTCTTTTTTTTGTACCAAGATATAAGTGCGTCAAAAATACCCTACACACACGTGCCATCCGAAACATAAATATTCACCTTCCTAAATAATAGGATCTTACTAAACTATAACAACTAATATCGTAAGGATTGGTTCTCCTATATGATAGGAAAGAGAAGCATGAGTCTAATGAAACATGGATCACACACCCAACATTCTTCCACTTGAAGACATGTTTCCATTCTGACTAGTCTGCTCCAAACAATTGCTACCCACAAATTATTAGTCATCAAGTAACCACGAGCCCCAAGGAAATCCTGCAACTAGTGAACTTTCCCTTTCCTGTGGGCTTAGTCAACATATCCGTTAGATTGTCATTAATAGGATTTTCTGTAATAAATTTTTTCCCATCTTTTATCACATCACGAATAAAGTGATATTGAACAATATGTTTAGTCCTATCATCGAAAGTTAGATTTCTTACTAGAAACAAGGTACTCTGGTTATCATAGTGAATCGATATATCTTCTTGCTCAACTTGGAATTCACCAAGTAGCCTATTTAGCCAAATTGTATTTTTAGATGCATGAGTAAGTGTCATATAGTCAGCCTATGTAGAAAACAATGCTACCACATACTGCAACCTTGATAACCAACTAATTGCATCACCTCTTAAAGGAAAAGCATACCTGGTTATGGACCTTCTTTTATCCAAGTCACTTGCAAAATCTGCACTTTCAAATCCATTCCATTATAACAAATATTATCATTTCCAGTTCCTTTTCAATACCAAAGGATCCACTTCACAGTTGTCTAGTGATCATGGCCCATATTTGCTACATATCTGCTCACAACTCCCACTACTTGTGCTATGTCAGGTTTGGTGTTAACCATAGCAAATATGAGGCTCCTTATTGCTGATGAATATTGTACTTGAGACATCTATGTTTTCTCTCCTTCAGTGCTAAGCCATTGTTTCGAAGACAACTTCATATGCATAGAAAATTTGGTACTAACGGATTTGGTAATTTGCATATTGAAGCACATCATAACCCTCTCCATATAACTCTTTTGAATCAACTAGATTTTCATGTTATTCCTGTATCTAAGTACACTCATCCCAATAATTCGATTAATGAGTCCCAAATGTTTTATCTCAAATTCCCTAGTCAACTAAGATTTAAGTATTGCAATATTCTCTATGTTTGGTTATGCAAAAATCATGCTATCGACATATTAAAACAAGATAATAAAGCTTTCATCACCATAACCATGAAAATAGGCACAATGGTCAGCTTAACATTTACAAAAATTCAAGCTCAATATGAAAGAGTTAAATTGTTTGTACCAACACCTCAACATTTGTTTCAACTCATACAACGTTTTCTTGAGCCAAAAAACTAAGTTTTATTTATCTTCCTCAATAAAACTCTCAGGTTGGATCATATAGATTTATTCTTTTAAGCTACCATGCAAAAATACAGTTTCACATCTAATTGTTTCAATTCTAAATCAAGAACAACAATAATAGCTAAAACAACTCTAATAGTGGACATGCACACAACAGGAGAAAAAATCTCATCAAAATCAGTACCTGATTTATGTGCATAACTTTTTACAACCAATCGAGCTATGTACTTTCAGCGATGGATAAATCAAAATGCAATTTGTGCTGCTTTCTAAATAAGCATGACTCACAAAAATCTAAATTAAAAAATTTTAAACTCCGTAGAAGAATTTTATTGAGAAGTACTTTAAGTTCAGGCTCACTCATGTGACCCAAACATGCATGTCATGTCATGACGGAGTCCACCTCTGTAATATCAGCCTCTCCCAAAATTGTTTCTCCAACAAGTTTGTACAAATTGTCTGCTAACTCTCCTTTTGCAACATTAGTGCTCCTATTGAAACTTTCAGACATCTACTTTTACCTGTAAATTTGAAACCTTGCTAATTAAATTTTCCCAAGGACAAGAGACTCATTCTAAGACCTGAAACATGTAAGACACCTGGGATAATGCATATGACTCCACTGAGTATCTTGATTCTTACATCCCTACTCCTACTATTTTATATGAGTTATTATTTCTGCACCTGAACCAAGTGACCAATATTGTAAAATTTTCTCCCTATCCACAGAGAAAACTTAAGTTTCTTCTACTAGATTTCCTTGATAACCACTAAACTAGACTTCTCATTAAAATCAGATTTAGGAGCTTCTTGGTTCCCTTTTTGTTCCTTCATCTTTCCTCACATGGTCTAATTTTCCACAGCTCCAACACTTCGCTTTCGTGATTTAGATCATGGTTGATCTTTCTTTTTTTTTGATAGAAATTCAAGAATATTATTAAAATAGATCATGATTGATCTTGATACAAAATTCTCTCCATTGATCTTCCCCGTGTTACAAACACATTCTCAGAGAAATCCTGACTAGACTTTCGCCTAGACTCATCTGTCAGTAGTGCTAAAACAACAAAATAAAATTCAAAAAAGTTTCCACTATTAAGATTCATGGTCAATCCATCTCATTATTGCGGCATAGAACAAAGTAATTATAGCTATTTTGTCTTTTTCATCAATTTTTATATCTAGCGACATCAACTTGCTAATAAAGGCAATAACCTCATTTAAGTGCCCATGCAAAGATGCACTATTACTCATATCGAGATTATAAAGTTTTCAGAGAAGAAAAATTTGATTAGGAAGATGTTTACCTTCATAAGTATTTTTCAGCCTGTCCCATAAATCTTTCGCAGTAGTTTCTGATGTGACATGGAATAAAACAAACTCATCAAGTACTAAAAAAATATCTGCCCTGGCCAATTCATCATTCTCATCAAATTCCTAATCATCCATCATTTCTAATTTATCTTCTCTGCCTTTTAAACCCATTACACGACCGTCTTTCACCAACATCAAATGTATCTTTAATTCCTAGGTTGAGAAATCCGAACCATTAAAATTTGAAATTTTGTATCTGGTTGAACTTCTTCCAGCTATCTTTAAAGATTTGCGTTCTGCCACAAACCTCATACCCAACAAGGATCTAAAACCCTAAGGTTCTGATACCCTATTGTAGAGGATAAAAACCGAGATTTGGGAAAAATAAGGGAAATAAAAAAAATACAAAAAAATATAAAAAGAGAGATACAAATATTTACATGATTCGGCAAGTTGTCTATATCCACGGGACAACAAAGTTCTCTTTTACTAATCAGAAAAACATCATGCAAGTATGAATAATATAAATGATTATAAGCTCTCTCTCTCAAACCCTAAAACATATTCTATTTTTCTAAAATACCCACACAAAAAGACAAAAGAAACCATTCTCTCCATTTTTGCATCTCTATTTTTTATGTGTTATTTTCTCTCTTTACAAAGCTTAATTTATATAAAAAGAAGCACCTAAAAAAATCACCTAAGTGAGGCTTCCTAGAAATTCCATCTTTTAAAGAGTGAAAGATAACCACTAGAAATCACGTTCCATCCAAAACCCAAATATTCACCTTCCTAAATAATATAATCTTCCTAAACTATAACAACCAATATCCTAAGGATTGGTTCTCCTATATAATAGGTAAGAGAAGCCGAAACATGGATTTCACGCAATCAACAGAAAAATGCTATAAGATTTAGATTTAAAATGGATTTATTTGCCCCTCTATATAAAGGTAGGAGAGCCAAAGTCAAAAATAAAATCTCTTAAGGTCTATTTTCTTGAAAGAATATTGAAGCCTTTGTTTTTTTTTTTTCTCTCTTTTTTTTTATTTTTTTTATTTTTTAAAAAACAGTCCCTAACTTTTATTATGAATGGCTTTAGCATAATTTCAGAATCCTTGTGAATGATCCACAATCAGAATGGGAATTATTTTGGGATTTCAGTCTATTCGTATCGCATACACATACACACACAAGCAAACACTATGATCTTGGAACACATATAACTGGTAAGTAGATGACCACCAGACTTGCAACCCACGCATCTGAAAATTGAACAGGTAAAAAGTCTAAATATCATTCTTACCTTACATAAGAGAAAAGTATACCTTGCTTCTAAAACATGAAATCCAGATGATATGAAAAGCTAATAATTCGCAAGGTTGCGATAAATAATAATAGAGAGCTAGTTCGACAAGGTAAGGATAATGAATCCTTAGCCAAATCTGAATGAGCAAGATTTATGACATCAATAAAGAAATTGAATTCATGTTTTCTTGTTGTCATGTTTAGCCCTGAGCAACTCTTGATTTTTGACTACTGGCTCAATAACTTCTTCTACTTCGTCCTTCAATTCACCTAGCTACATTTGATAGATAAACACAATTATAAAACAAGAAAAAGATAAAAATATATATATATTGTATATTTAGAACGAATAAATTTATGGGTGAAATCAATATCTACTCAGTTGCACGTTATGGCTTACAATCCCATTGATATCTTAAAAAACTATTAACTAAAAGGGGCCTGTCATCCCCAATGAATTATTAAAAAAGAAAAAATCAATAGGGTACATGAAAGGGACCTTGTGAATTAAATCCTTGGCGACCTGAGCATCATTAACAACTTCCTTTGAAACATTTTCGACAAGGATGGCTGCTTCTTTGAGGTTTCCACCCTCTGGAAGTTTGTCAGCAATATATGAAGACACTTCCTCAACCACAATTGCCACCTTTTCGACAACCTTAGCCACAGTTTCCACCTTCTCTATCACCTCTTCCACCTCACCTAGAGGCACAAATGCATTATTTTTTATAACATAGACCACTTCATTTTATGTACAGATATGATTCATTCTTAGTTGCATTGGTCTTTTGAGGTATAAAATCCAAAATTATAACCAGGTGATGTCTAAGGTTTTAATGGTTTACATTTTGACGGAGAAGAGTCAAAGGAAAGCCTAATGTAAGGGCATCATCCTTTAATGTTGTGCAAAACATTTGCACAAGGAAGCTATTAAAGAAATATGTCTCTTTATAGGAATGGGCTCAAGGTTAGGTGGTTAGGGCGGTGGCACCACAATATTATGTTTTGAGATCTATTCCTAATGCAGGTAGAGGACGACCCATTCCTAACTGAACTTACCAAAAAAACAAAAAAAATTATTGTGTTGCTTTAGAGAAGAGTAGAACCATGTAAGGGGCGGAGAACTGTGTGGTGACCTTCTTTCCACCGAAGAAATAGTGATGGATGGCTCTTGTACAATTGGCCCATATCAATTTTTACCCTCTTTAATAAACTTCATTAATAGTTCTCTTGAAATGACCATCATTTTATGCAAGAATATGTTATAAATTTCTTTATACATAATTCAGCCTATGAACTACTCTAAGGCCTCATTTGGTTCCCTGAAAATGGATATCCTTGGGAAATACATCTCCTGGGATTGGTATTTTTGAAATATGTCTCATGGGTTTGGTATCTCCTATATTTCACATTTTCTAGAATATTGATGTCTGGTGTATGAATAGCTTCTAGTAAGAGGCTTGGAAGATGCCTTTCCACTGTTTGAATTACCTGAAAGATATGTCCCTCGAAAATTATAGCATATAATATTATATAATAAGATTATGTTATATAAAATAATATTGCATATAATAATTATTTCATGCAGTATATATTAATTATATTATAATATTATATATCTATTATAATATACATATTACTTATACATGTTATAATTAAATTATAATCATAACATGTAATTACTACATCTATATAAATTCTTGTAATTATGATAATTGTTATATAATTATTACATGTAATTAATGTTAATTATATATTTTGTATAATTATTATATATTAAAATATAATATCATATAGCATTATAATATTATACAATAATATAAAATCATACTTTACTATTTTATAATTCTATGTATATTATTACAATGTTATATATATACATGGTTATGTATTAATTATTATATATTACAATATGTTATAATATAAATATTATAAATAGTATTAGATGTATTATTTATCATATAATTATTATCATATATAATTGATTTATTAATTATAAATTTCATTTATTATAATATATGATTTATTATTCATATATTAATTATTACAATTATTACAGCTCTAGGATCTGAGGTGCTCTTCTTAGGTGGACCTCAACTCACTCTATAAAATATATTGAATAGCAATATTTTGGGGCCCGTGGCTCTCTTTTGATCTCCCACAGATGTTAATACCACCATTTCTAAAAAGGCTTAAAATGTGGAAATCGATCTCCACGCAAAAATGGAAGTCCCACACTAGGAGAGCATCGAAACAACATTTACAGGCTTGAGATCCATTTCCACGGAGCCAAATGGGCCATAGAAACTCATTTCCAACAATCACTTACCATTAAGAAACATTTATGATAGGGTGCAGTTGGCATACTGATGCATCCGTAGCTGTAGAGGTAAGGTGCACCTTCAAATTTTATCATGGTATATAATTTTGATGTAAAATGTTCTTAGTATTATCTCAAAATCTATTTTTATATCTAATTAAGAAATTTTAAATTTAAAGAATGATTAAAATCAAGTATATCTATAAACATATGAAAATCTTGAAAATGGACAGTGTAGATAATATGTTGTAAAATGCATTATTTTTTAGACTTAAAATCTTTTTATTTTTCATGGTCAAACATCTCGATGTCGAGATGATCAATCAAAGGGTTTTTCAACATTAAAACTGCCTTTTTCAATAGATTTTTTAGATGCATCCGTAGTTCTACATTATAAGGTTGCATCCTTATATAAACATTTTCCTTTATAATATTATGAATAATATCTCTCCCTCTCTCTCCCTCTCTTTTATAACTGCATAGACTTTTCATGCTCCTTTCATGAGTTGAATCTTTCCCTAAATAGGCAAGTTTAGATTTTGCTTTAACATTAGGGCATATTTGACATTTAGCCCGATAGGTATTTCTAGCACACCAGGTTCCACCTCGAGCACCCGTTTCTTCATTTTTTAAGAATCAACGCACTATGGTGGTGGAGCTCAGGATATCGGGCAGTGATTTTATGCAATGGTTGTATAGTAAAATGATGCAACAACTTTCAAATATTATGTTAGGGCCATTTGTTTGATCCAAAATTTAAAATATACACTCTTTTCATTCTAATGAACAATTACAAAAAAGAGAAATTTGAAAAATGCATCTAGAAAGTATATTTTTAGCCCAATTAACATAGCCCGTCTATTTTGGTGAGATGTTTAGATTTAGACTTTAGAATGATCTTTTTTCTTTTCAAATTATTTAGATAATTTTATTATCATTAGATTAACGATATTAAAAAAAAAAGATTTTGAATTCATAAACGCCTAGATCTTGAAATTTATCAAATGAACGGTTTATATTTATTGTTGGAGATGACTCATTTTGACCATATACAGGGTACAAATTACTTTTTTTTGTAGATTGATTATTGAGATGAAGAGAGTGTGTGTGAAAAATTTTAGGTCATATAAATACCACAAACATGATTTTCTAGAAGTGTGGTTACATTATACTATGATACAACCGTTGCATGAAATCACAGCCCATTTTCAAAAGGCAGTGATTTCATGTAATGGTTGTATAGTAAATTTGAAAATATGCACTCTTTTCATTCTAAAGAGACAATTGCTTGCATTTATTACTAAAATTATTTATCTTTGGTATAAGGAGGTCATAATCATATTAGCCATTGGATGTGAAATCTAATAGATTGAATTGCATCACAATATTCGAGAAATTTTGTTTTGGTCTTTTTACCCAATCTATGACACATCCTCAACCACTCAATTTCATATCCAAAGGTCAATAATGATTGTGACTTTCTTATATTAAAAGTAAATGGTCTCATTGTATACTTTTTATAATTCCAAGGACTACAACAAAGATTCGTGTGGTAGTCATCTTTAACGCATTTTATTTGTTCTTGTTTACAATTTCTAAGAACCCAAAACTATGACAAGCAAAAGAAATATATATATATATATATATATGGAAAAATCTTCCTAACGGCTATAGGCGAAAATGAATAGTGATTTCGCCTACCCTCATCACCGTCCAAGTTTCATCGCACAGTCACGATTGTCCGGTAGTATTTTATTTTTCATTTTTTTTTTCTATAAATCGGAATGACCTGAAATTTGGAGGGTATGTACATCTTACTAAGTCGCATCTCATAAAAATACAAAAACAATTATTCGCAAAAAAACAATTGACAAAATGCCCCTAAAACATTTCGGGGGGATTTTGGTCAATTGTTTTCATGTAAAATATTTTTTTTATATTTTTGCAAAGATTCCTCTATTTTTGATGAATACATGTTCCAAATTTCAAGTAATTCCGATTTATAGAATAAAAATGAAAAATAAAATACTACCAAATAATCGTAACCGCACGATGAACTTTGGACAGTGACTGGGGCAGGCGAAATCTTGCGTAGTGTTTTCCTCTCTCTCTCTCGATATATATTTATATATATAGGAAAAGTTCTTGTACGTCGTACCGGTACAGTAAACAACCAATGGCTCAGATCGAATCTGGGTCGATCTAACAGTCACGGTTGTCCAAGAGTGTTTGAATTTTATTTTATTTTTCTACAAATTGGAATGATCTAAAATTTGAAGCGTGTATATGTATTAGTAAGGTACACCTAATAAAAATATAAAAAAAATAATTCGTAAAATAAATTGATCAAAATACCCCTGAAACTTTTTAAGGTATTTTGGTCAATTTATTTCATGTAAAATATATGTTTTTGATATTTTTTGTAGATTCGCCTATTTTTTATGAATGTACATTCTAAATTTCAGATTATTTTGATTTGTAGAAAAAAACATTAAAAATAAAATACTACAAGACATCCGTGATGCTTAGATCGGCC